GGTCATTCCTCCAACTCTTCCTCACCAGTAGCTCACCTTCACACCATAAACCAGCTCCTGGGTGGGCTCCAAGACACCCCCTTGCCCGCGCCTGACCCTCCAAACTCCTTGGGGTTATATTGGGTTCTGGTCAAAGGGGAACTTTGCCTGCCGTCCACTGAGGTGGGCTGGGAGCCCTGACCATCCCTCTCCCCACAGTGGGTGAGGTTGGAGGACCAACACGGGAAGCCCTACTTCTACAACCCAGATGACGCCTCAGTTCAGTGGGAGCTGCCCCAGGTAACCCACTGGGAAAGGGAGAGTCTTGGGGAGAGGGGACGGGATTATGTATGACCGTGTCTTTCTCCTCAGGTTCCTGTCCCTGCCCCTCGAAGCATCCACAAATCCAGCCAGGACAGTGAGACACCAGCCCAGGCCAGCCCACTTGAGGAGAAGGTAAGGGAAGGAGCATGTAGGCCCCGGCAGGGCCCCCACAGAAGAAATAGGGGCTTCCTGAAGGTTGAGGGGGCTAGGCCGGGGCCGGGCATGTCTCCCCCACAGGCCCCAGCACGAGCCTGGGCTGAAAGAACCTGGGTCTGGGTCATCCCGGCCCAGGGCTGGGGGAGGCTGGGAGCTGGGAGGAGATCTGTCCTGCTGGCTGGCGTGAGGGCAGGGACCCCACCAGCGCCAGCAGCAAAGAGGGTTCGGTGGTGACTCGGGCCCAGCCTGTAAGGAGTTGCTGGCTGTGGAGGAGGCTAGCCTCTGCCCCCTGTGGCCCAGCCTGTTAACTGCCTCCTCTGTCCCCTCGGCTTTCTCAGACCAAGACTCTGGACAAGGCCGGCGTGCTCCATCGCACCAAGACGGCGGACAAGGGAAGGCGGCTCCGGTGAGAGCCCAGCGGCACCCAGACCCGGGCGCGCTGGGCCTTAACGCTGATATTTACTGAGCGCGTTCTGTATGCCAGGCTCTTGTTAATCCTCATGGCAACTTTCTAAGAGGTCCCATGAGGACCCTGAGGCACCGAGAGATAGGGGCTTGCCCAGGGTCCCTTGGCTACCAAGTATTAGAAATGGGAGTCCAGTGCTCACCGTTGGATGCCCCAAGCCAAGCTGTGTTCTTCAGCTCTGTGCCCTGCTCCTGGCGCTGGAAGGGGCCCTCAGCCCAGGGCCAGATGCAAGCCTGGTCACCCCCCACTTCCACACCCCCACCTAGGAAGAAGCACTGGAGCGCCTCCTGGACGGTGCTGGAGGGTGGCGTGCTGACATTCTTCAAGGACTCAAAGGCCTCAGCTGCAGGCGGCCTGGTGAGGGCCAGACTCCCAGGACAGGGACCCCCCCCATCTGCTCCTGACTCCTATGGCTCTTTACCTGATCTGGCTTGTCAAAGGCTAGGTCTGCGACAGTGGAACATGAGTGCCGGGGGAGCTGGGCCTTGGCAGGGGGTGACGACAGCAGATTCAGCCCACGACAAGCACTTCCAGCCACCCTGGACATGGGGAGCTGTCCTTGAGGGTGGCCACTCCAGCCTGGTGGGCAGGCAGACTAGGGACTGGGCACGCCTGCTCCCGGGCATGAGGGCTGTTCTCCTTTCTCCTTTCCTCTCCTGGGTGGGCAGGCAGCAGAGGACCAGCCAGCCCAGGACCTCTGGGTTCCAGGAACCCTTCCCCATCCTGTCCTTGAAGCCAGGGGAGCCTGGTGGATTGGAGCCAGGAGCCCTGGCAGGCCTGTCTGAGCTGAGGGTTCCCTCTAACTGTGCTCCCCCCAACCCTTCTCCCCTCTCCCACAGAGGCAGCCTCCCAAGCTCTCCACCCCTGAGTACACAGTGGAGCTGAGGGGGGCCTCTCTCTCCTGGGCCCCCAAGGACAAATCTAGCAGGAAGAATGTGCTGGAGGTGAGTGGTGGGGTTGGGAGAAGGAGAGGGGGCTTACTGATGGCTTGAGACCCTCAGTAGGCAAGCCCCAAGAAGGGGGACCTGGGGAGAGTGGGACCGGAATTCTCAGGGCTCAAAACCAAAGTTGTGTCTACCTTGGGGATCCGTCCACGGTATTTCTGGCATCACGGATTCTGCAGTTCCCTTTTACTAGTCCTTGGCCCCGGAGTGTGGTGAGGAGTAGGGGGTCTCTGGGGGACGAAACCCACGCCTGGAAGGACAGCCCTCATCCCAGACAGGAGACTCCCTGTCCCCTGCTACTCACTTTGACAGGTTGGAAACCTGCTCTGGCCGGTCAGAGCCCAGGTTCCAACTGAACTGGGTCTTCTGTGAATAAACTGGGTCCCCAGTTTCCCAGGCTCCCCTAGCAGGAAGACTGGGACCAGGTGGGGCGCAGGCAAGGTCCCTCACGGTGCCACACCCTCCACTGTCCACGTGTTGTCTTGCTTTTAAACTACCTTTAGCCTCACCTCAGTCCCCAGAAGTTCTGAGGAAGCTCACAACAACAACAACAACAACACATGGGGAGCTGGTGAAATCCACTGAAAAGCCAGACCAGGCACAAGTTAGAGCAAGGGGTCCATGTGGAGAGGCATCGGGGACAGATGACGTACAGGGGCTATACTGTTGCTGAAAAAAATTAGCTCAGGTTTCCTGGTAGCCAAAGTGAAAAGAGAAGGAGGATCAGTTACGTGGTTCTTCTTATGGTGGGGGGGGGGGGCTTTCCCCAATCTGTTGAAGCCATTTTTAGTGCACAGCTCCAGCCTAGGTTAGTAAGGGACCCTTGGAGCTGCTTCAGGTAACATGACAAAAGCCAAAAGCATAACCTCACAGTTCAGCTCAGAAAAAGCAGTTCTGCCAGGCCCTTGAGAGTTTTCTGAAGATCCACCAAGCTTCATTCAGTTCTAGAAGCAGCGTATCCACAGAGCAGGGCTGGAAAACCAGATTGATCTCCTGAGCTGCTCTCGTCAGGAGGTCTGGAGCCTTTTCCCAGTTGTCTTTTCTGACAAGAACCAGAAGGCAGATGGGACTGTTGGAAGCTACTCAAGCTGTTGGAAAGGCTGACAGTCTTGAATGGAAATGGAGGAGCCCCCGCTTCCACTTCCTGGCTGGCAGGTGGCCATCCTGCCTCCACTCAGGGGGTGGCCTGCAGGCACCTCCAGGATTTTTCTCAAGAGACAGCCCCACATTCTAGATCGTGGCCAGGTTACTTGGGCCTAGCAGATTTTCACAACAGGTCCTCCTCGTCACTCCAGAGTCACAGAAAACTTCAGTGATAGTCCTCCCAAAACAGCTGGTTTGGACAGCTCAGCTTGCCCGTGCATCTAGCAGGATGAATGTTCTGGGAGATAGATTGCTGAGTAACTAGCTTTTCCTTCTGTATGAAACCTTCAGATAGGAACAGATTATGTTTTGAGAGGGCCTGGGTTTGCCCATCTGTAACAGAGACTGTCTCTTACTGCTTTGAATGAGGCGGAATGCCTTGGCCTGGGGTGAAGCCCTTGCTCGACTGTGCTCTCAGTTCCTGGGGACAAGGACAGATCATCTCCACCATTTCTGTATCTCCCCTCCCCGCACCCCCTACCACTGAGGCCTGGCCCCAGAGCCGACCCGGGGAGCCAGAGATGACTGAGTGACTCCTGTCTCTCCAGCTGCGGAGCCGAGATGGCTCAGAGTACCTGATCCAGCATGACTCCGAGGCCATCATCAGCACCTGGCACAAGGCCATTGGCGAGGGCATCCAGGAGCTGGTAAGCAGAGCCTGGGGCCTCCGGGGCTGGTGGGGATGGGATGGCCAGCCATTATGCAGAACAGAGTGTGGGTGAGTGCCCCTCCCTGCAGATGCAGGCCCCACTCAGGGCTGTGTGGCAGATGGGCTGCTGAAGAAATGGTCTTTCTTAAGTAGGCAAATCCAGCCTGTGGGGTTGGCCCTGCAGGAGATCTCTCCAGGTCGGGGTGGGGGGCACATCCTAGAGGAATGTTCCACTTCAAGGGAGGCAGGCAGAAAAGGAAATCTGAGAAAGAGCCTCAGGCTGGAATGACAGGCTAAAACCAGAAGGGAAAATTTTAAAGGCTTGGATTGAAGAGTCTGCTGTTTTTAGGTTCAAAATATTCATTGCATAACTAGAGATGGAACAGGCCCCCTCTGACAGCTCTTCACCTGGAAGCAACCTGGGGCTTTTTGAGCCTCAATTCCCTGGGAGCCAATACTGAGTACAGAGTTTGGCTGTATTACTAGAGGTAGGAATCCAGGTCGAGGGCGGTGATGCGGTTGTTGGCAGTGCTGGGGCCTCAGCTGAAATTGTAAGTTCAGAACTCGGAGCCACATAATTGAGGAATGCTGACCTAGTGGATTGTGTGCAGAGGATCTAGGAAAATATGGGCAAGGGGGGCCAGGATAAGAAAGAGCGGGAGAGAGCAGGATGACTGTCTCCAACACCTGAAGGGCTCCATGCAGCCAAGGGAGGTGAACGTTCTGAGGTTCCGCGGTAGGAGGTCAGGGGTGGAGAAGGGAAGCGTGAACTGTGCTTGGGAGTCATCGGGCCGGCTGGGAGGGCACTCGGGGCCCCTCACGCTGTCCCAGAAGCCCGGCCCCAGGCCCTACCTCTCTGAGGCCGCGTGATTCCAGTCCGCAGACCTGCCCCGGGAGGAGGAAAGCGAGAGCAGCAGCGCGGACTTCGGGTCCAGCGAGCGCTTGGGAAGCTGGCGGGAGGACGAGGCGCGGCCGGGTGCAGGTGCGCGCGGGGGGTGGGTGGAGGGCATCTCCTGGGAACCGGCGTCGCGGGGGAGGCGGGGGGTGACGACCCGGCTGGGGCCAGCCCGGCCAGTCCCGGCGCCACCGAGTGACCCGGCCCCGCACTCCCGGGCCCAGGCGCAGCCACCTCGGAGAGCGACCTGAGCAGGGTCCGGCACCGGCTCCGCTGGTTGCTGCTGAAGCGGCCCACGCTGCAGTCGCTGCGGGAGAAGGGCTACATCAAAGGTACCCGAGGGAGTGCGAGCGCGCGGCGGGGGGAGGGGGGAAGGGGGAAGGGGGGGCTCGGGGCCGGGCGGCGCTGACGAGCCTCTGCCCCAGACCAGGTGTTCGGCTGCGCGCTCGCCGCGCTGTGTGAGCGCGAGAGGAGCCCCGTGCCGCGCTTCGTGCAGCAGTGCATCCGCACCGTCGAGGCCCGGGGTAGGCGCGGCGCCCGGAGGCCTCCCTCCCGGAGCCCAAGACGGAGACCCCTGGGGTTGGGGGGCGCGGGGAGGGGGGAGGGGGGAACGAGAGCCCCTGAGTGGGACTCCGAGCAGGAGCTTTAGGCCCGTCCCGCCCAGCCGAGGTCAGCGCCTCCCTCTGCCCCAGGGCTGGACATCGACGGCCTGTACCGCATCAGTGGAAACCTGGCCACCATCCAGAAGCTGCGCTATAAGGTGGACCACGGTGAGGCCCGGCTCCCGTCCCTCACCCCAGGGCCTGACGGCACCAAGGGGTGCTCACCGCCTCTTCCGCCCCCCTTGCCGCAGATGAGCGCCTGGACCTGGACGACGGGCGCTGGGAGGACGTCCACGTAATCACCGGGGCCCTGAAGCTCTTCTTTCGAGAGCTGCCGGAGCCCCTCTTCCCCTTCTCGCACTTCCGCCAGTTCATCGCGGCCATCAGTGAGCGCCCGGGGGAGGCGGGGCGGGTGGGGTAGGGATGGGGCCGGCCTGCCGCCCCCGCACCCCCTCGGCCGGACTCCTCCCCCCTCCCCCGCCACCGGGACTCAGCCCCTCCGTTCCCCGGGCCGAGCCGACCCTGCCTTCCCTTCCGCAGAGCTGCAGGACCAGGCCCAGCGCCGCCGCTGTGTGCGGGACCTGGTGCGCTCGCTGCCGGCCCCCAACCACGACACGCTGCGGCTGCTCTTCCAGCACCTGTGGCGGTGAGCCGGCGAGCCGCGGGAATGGGGAGGCGGGTGCGGGCGGACCCCCACGCGCCCTCCAGCTCCGGGCCCTGACGCCCCCCTCCCCACCCCGCTCCCCGCTGCAGGGTGATCGAGCACGGGGATCAGAACCGCATGTCCGTGCAGAGCGTGGCCATAGTGTTCGGGCCCACGCTGCTGCGGCCCGAGACCGAGGAGACCAGCATGCCCATGACCATGGTGTTCCAGAACCAGGTGGTGGAGCTCATCCTGCAGCGCTGCTCGGACATCTTCCCGCCGCACTGACCGCGGGCCCCTGCCCCCACCCCCCGCGGCTGGCGCCGCGGACCCGGGACTGGGGGCGGCGACAGTGGTCCTGCCTTGGAAGCCGGACGGTTGGAGGCCGCTTGGCTGGACTCCTCTGTGAGACCCTCCGCCTCTCAGCGGTCCCCAGGCCGAAGTGAAATCTGCACCCCTTGGTGCAGTATGGTGATCCCTGGTGGGCAGTTTGCAAAATGTGATTACCTCTCCCCCCCGCACCCCGCTCCCCCCCCTCCCCCCCGGGCCCGGCCTGTCCCGTTTGGGGCTTACTTGGGTTCTGGTCTTCATTACAGCGACACCTGCTGTGTGTGAGAGAGAGAATGCGCTGGGGTGAGAGTTGCTTTTCCCGGGCGGCTGGCGCTGGGAGGAGGAGTGTGGGTGAGGGGCTTCTCGGCTTCTCCAGGTCTGCACCTGGCGGGGCCTTCAAGGACAGCCCGTGGGGACCGAGCCCCGTGTCAGTCCCGGAGCAGTCGCCTACAGCGCCCCTGCTGCCCAGCCTTGCCTCGGGCCTCACCCCCACCTGACACTCTCCGCCGCTGCCGGGGGCCATTCCCATCGGCTTTCCGGGCCCGGCCGCCGCCCTCCCCGACCCCTGGGCGCTGTGTGCGCGGGTTCTTCACCCTCAGTGTGTGCCCCGCCCTGGCCGCCTCCCCCGCACCGTCCCCACGCACGATCGCAGAGAGGCAGGCAGCGGTGGCAGCAAAGTGACCCATTCAGGGTCCGTCCAGGCTGCTCTCACACCAGGCCTCCTGGGAGGGCGCCGGCAGTCCTTTCAGCTGCGCCTCCCCTCCAGGCCCCCTGCACAGCCCACCATGGGCCCACGGGCAAAGCGAAAGAAACTGCGGCAGGAGGGTTCTGTCTGGGCCTGGGGAGATCCTGAAGGCGGCCAGGAAACCCGCGGCAGCTGTGTTCTGGCAGGGAGGGGAGACAGCACTGGCAGGAGCCCCCCAGCCCCTCTCAGGGCCTGGCTGTCCGGCGGCCTGCCCGGTGCCCACCTTGTCCTGAGGAGCTACGAGAGGCCTGCAGGGCCGGGGGAAGGCGGGTACGGCCTCCGGAAAAGGAAGCGTGAACCCTGGGGCCAGCCATGCCCTTTCCCTCCTCACACACAAACCACCTCAGTTTCTGGGTCCGGGCCCCCCGCCCCACCTACCGTTTGTCTGTTCGGCAAACAATAATAGCTACTATTTATTGACATTTGCACCCTGCCAAGCGTTTCACTTGGATCATCTCGTTTGTCTCTCACAGCCAATATTTATTATCTGCTCTTCTGTGCCAGGCACAGTGCTCTGGGGCAGGGGTACTGCGCGTGAGGACCCATGCCCACCCCACATGCCAGCAGGGCCGGGACACGAGTACAAAAAGAGGCCTCACGCCATACGTGGAAATAGTGTAAAGTCACAAATCAAGTTATAACTGTTCAATAAAGTATGTTCTATTCTCCTACTTTGACAAATAAACTTTCGTGGTGACCTAGAAGACGAGGTTCCAGCCCACACTTCCTTGACCCTTCTGAATTCTGTGCCCGGGCACGTTGGCGTGAGAAGAGCAGCCTGCCCCTTGTATCTGCCCTCAGAGCCATCCTGCCCCAGGGGAAGGCCGCATGCACACATGGGGACAGTCCAGTCCACTAGCACAAACTGCCACGTGTCCCCTGCCCCCTGCTGCCCCTCGGCCACCCCACGTGGCCCACCCTTCAGGGAATGGGCTTTTGGGGCAGGGACTTCTGCGGTCTTGCATATCAGGGGCATGGTCCAGAGGGAAGGGCCTGGGCTCCAAGAGGCCCCACAGGCTCCTCATCCTGTGGGGAGAGGGCACAGACTGAGAAGGTCAAGAGTAGAGCCTTCTAAAGCGGGGGACGCGCAGCAGGGCAAGGGTTCCTCACCCCCAGGTCTAAGGACAGAATGGGACAGATGTTAAACAACGGATTACTTGGTTACATTCCTGTGTACAAAAGTAAGAGAAAGTGCAGGGTACTCTGAAGGTGGGTCGCTCGGGTGTCACTGTCCCTCAGGAACCGGAGATGCTTCTGCAGAAGCCCCATCTGGGCCCAGCACTAAAAAATGGAGAGGAGTTGACAAGGTGAGGAATTAAGGGAAGCATGTCTAGTCAGAGGGAACAGCATGTGCAAAGGCTCTGCGGCGGGAAGGCTCGTAGAGAGACCAAAATCTGCAAAGAGCCCACACAACCCGAGAGCATGGGGGCGAGGTGGGGCTGGAGAGGCTGACGGGGGACAGGGTGTGCAGGGCCTTGTGGGCCACAACAAGTGGGGGTCTGTGGCAGGACAGCAGGCGGGAGGCCTTGGGAAGTGTCAGCTCCCCCCGCACTGTCTGATCCTCACCCCACCCCAGGCTTCTGACACTGCCAAGGCCTTGCTGAGCAAACCATGTAGCAGCAGGCGAAGAGGTCCCAGATTCATCATATTTTGCCACCAGGAAGAGCTGCAGAAATCACCCACTGCCAGTGAGGAAACTCCTAGAGAGACAACGTCATAACTCACCGGCGGTCACGGGGCAGACGGGCGGCAGAGCCTGCCCGGAGCTTCGTTTGCAGCCTGAGGGCCACCAGACGTGTGGCCTCAGCCGTGAGTCCTCAACACCGCACACAGTGCTCACTGAATATGTTTGGAATGAGTTGGATTTTGTGTGAGACACAAAGATACATAAAAATAGTATCTGCCCTCTTGAAGCACCAGCCGGTTGGGGGACAGAGCGAAAAATAAGTGCGCAGTGGATAAGGGCTGTCCCAGAAGGCCCTCTCCCCAAGCCTGCCCCCTCTCAGCAGATGCTCCGGACCCTCCTACAGCCTGGCATCTGCCCCCGAAGCTGGCCCAGAAAAGGCCACCAGTGCCCACCTGGTTGCCAAGTCTGACGGGAGCACCCGATTCTCATGCGAGTGGACATGTGAACTGCCTGTTGTCCCCCCATGAAGCTCGCTGTCCCTTTGCCTGCAGCATCATGGGTCTTTGCCCACCCTGGTAAATAGTGATGCCCGCTGGGTTGTGGCCTCAGCCCATGGCCCTCTCCCCTCCACCCTCCCTAAGGGCCCTCATCCATTCCATCCGGGGGACTCAGGCACCAGGCCTGCACACGGGTCACCCAAATCTCTCACCAGCCAGGACCACTCTCTCCTGAGTTCCAAGTGCAAATGGCCACCTGCTTACAGGACAGCTCTGCATGGATGGCTGTCGGACACCCTGAGTGCAACCTGCCCGCAACGAAACTCCGGGCCCAGCCCTTCTCCCTGTTGTGAGGCATGGCCCCTCCATTGACCAGAGTCTCCTCCCCCCTCCCCCAGAGCCAGTCAGCCACCCCGACCTTACCTTCCGCCTGTAACTCTTCCTGGGGTCTGCCTCCCGTCCCCCTCAGTCTCTCGCCTCGGTGGCCCAGTGCTCTCTGAATGGGCTCCTCTCTTCCAGGTTTCATCCTCCACCCAGCAGCCGTCTGACCTTGTCACTTCAGCAAGTGGCCTCCAAGGCCATTCCCAGCCCGTCTCCCACCTCTTTGCACACGAGCTGTGCCCCTGTCTATAGCTCCCAGCCAGGCTGTCCCAGCCTCAATGCCAAGGGCTGCCAGTCACCCTGCCTTCCTCCCTTTCACCTGCCTGACTCCTCCCCCTCCTCCCCGCAGCTCACCACTACCACCACCCACCTCCCCCAGCTCTCAGCACCCTGGCCTCCCTGCTCTGTAAGTGTGCTTCCATTTCGGGCCCTTCCCCCACTAGGCTCTGGGCCAGCATGTCTTCACCGCTCTCTTTAGGGCCAAGTAAATGCCATCGTATGGAGACACCGAATTTCTTTCTTCATTCATTCATTGATGAACATTTGGGTTGTTTCTACTTTTCTGCTATTAGGAATAATGCTGACTATTTCATGTACGAGGTTTTATGTAGACACACAGTCTGAGCTCGGGCCGCCATCACAAAATGCCATAGGCTGGGTGGCCTAAACAACAGAAATGATTTCTCACAGTCCTGGGGCTGGAAGCGTCAGATCAGGCCGCTGGCATGGAGGGGTTCTGGTGAAGGCTGGGTTCCTGGCTTGCAGATGTCTGCCTTCTTGCTGTGTGCTCACATGGCAGAGAAAGAGCTCACCTCTGTCTCTTCTTTTAAAAAAAAAAAAAAAAGATTTATTTATTTTGGAGAGAGAGTGCGCGCAAATGCAGGGGAGGGGGCACAGGGAGAGGGAGAAGCAGGCTCCCCACTGAGCAGGGAGCCCTTCAGGGGCCTAGATCCCACGACCCTGCGATCATGACCCGAGCCACCCAGGTGCACCTCTTCTTACAAGGACATGAATCTCATCATGGGGGCCCCATCCTCAAGGGCCCTACCTCCCAGCACCACCATATCGGGAGTTAGGGCTTCACATATGAATCTGGGGGGACACAAACATTCAGTCCATCCATATATGTTTTAATTCCCCTGGGCACACACCTGGGAGTAGAACCGCTCGGTCAGATGGTCACTCTGTGTCGAACGTTGTGAGGAACTGCCAAACTAGAGTTTTCTATGGTGGCTGCACCATTTTACATTCTCACAGGCAACGTGAGAGGGTTTCTGTTCTCTCCCACTTTCTGCAGCAGCTGCTTCGGGGATTCATTCTCCTCAAACCTCCGGCCCTCCGCACCTCCTCCTCTCCCTCTCCCGCTCCCTCTCCGCTCTCTCTCCAGAGGACCTCACCTCTACCTCACAGAAATAATGGAAACGCTTCACATCCCACCAGCAGAGCTCACAACCCCCTCACCACATCCTCCCTTGCCTCCCTGCCCCTGGTACCTCGGAGCAGACATCTCTCCAGGACACAGTTAACCTCTTCCCTTTTCCAGAAATTATCCACCACCATGGCCACCTTGCTCTGCTCCTCATTGAACTGCTGTCTCGGGCGGAACTCCTGAGAAGTGGACAGAAGCATGTAGAAAGTCACTGGGGACTGCCCTCAGGACCACACCTGGCATGGGGGGCAGGAGGATGAAGGCTGCAGGATCAGGCTGAGGGGAAACTGAGCCGCGATGCAGGCCCATCCAGGCCTCCGCTGACCCCACCCGCGGGCAGCTCTGGAGCTGGGACAGCCTCAGCGCCTCGGCGGTGGCCCACGTCGTGGCTGGGGGGGCAGACCCTCAAACGGCCTTATCATCCAGCCACTGGACGAGGCTTGCCTTGGCGGGGTGGGGGAGGGCCCATGAATTTGGGCAAAGAGACTCTCTTCAGCCCGAGGCATGTCCTAGAGAGC